AGTAGTTTTATTCAATGTGTAGTGCTCGCGTAAATATAAGATTTCATGGTTTTATTTTTTTGCGCAGAAACCTACTTCTATTTCTAAAATAAAAATAGCCTAAGTTACTCTTTATAACATCAGCTATCTGCCAGTGAAAGTCCCATCCAAATCTTTTCACAGGTTTTTGCGTGATGCGTGTTCAAACAGACGTCGGTCGTGTTAGAGTTTTGTTATAGTATAGATACTCGTAGATGGATAGATAGATATAGATTATGTTAAAAGTTGTGATTGAAATTTATTATTAGATTAACATATTTTTTTGCTTTGTATTCCCTGCTAACAACAAAGAAATCAAAGTGTTGCTGGTCAAAAAATGCTGTTCTATTTCTTCACTCTCATTATATAATGGTTGTCGTCTGCTTGTGTGCTTAATATAACACAGCAGGTGTCGGGGGGCATCTCCCCCCCATTGCCCGGGTTCCCCTCACGGCCCACTTCTATGGCCCGGTCCTGGGAGGCGTTGTGGCATTGTAGGTGATAACAGCGGTCCGGGGTTCGGTTCCCCAGTTGCTGCGAATTGGTATAAAATAAAAAGTCAAAGTTGGTCTATCAGCGACATTGATGGTTGTTACTCGACTCTCTATCTCTCTCTATAGAGGGGAGTTCTCTTGGTAGAGGTCGCCCGTCCAGGGGCCAGGCATGTAAAGGTGGACAACCCTACAAGACAAGATAGAGATCAGGCCCCGGACTAATAGTTTTTTATTCTTTGCGAAGCACAGTGCTGGAACACCGACCACTACCTGACTCTGAGCTAAAACTGGAAATTTGTTGACAGAAAAACCCAATAACAAAAACAAAAAAAGACATTGACAACGTGGACAAAGTGGTCGATATCGAAATTGGTTTCCGAGGAGTTGATATAAACGAAAACTGATTTTGGGGTTTGACTAGGTCGAAAAATCGAGCCTTATTAATTTTAATAATTTCTTATTAAAATATAAAATAAAATTAATAAATTAATAATTACTTATAAATATTAATTTATTAATTTTAATAATTACACTTGATATTTACTGAATTTTATGTCTACATATTTATTTTGTTAAATTTTGATGAGAAAATGATGTCAAGTTTACTCACTTAAATAACTGCAAAGTTTTTAAATTGGTAAGTATTTTGAATCAATAGGAAACGAACTAGAGATAGGATTTTTAAAGTAATTTGGCTATGGGGGTCTGAGATATCAGTTCATTTTGGAAAAGGTCTCTCTTGCCCAAAATTATTTGGGAATCCCTGCACTAGACCAATGCATATGAAATAAGCATAACATACCATATGATACATTTTGTATGAACACTACACTGGCTATAATATGTAAAGAGTGTGTCACTGCTGGGCAGATGCTTCCTCTTACACCTGGGAGGCTATGGAGCAATTAGTCTTACGGGATACTCTAGGATATGTTAGAGAAGTTCTGTTGTCCCCAAAATATTTTATACTTTAACCTCAAATGTACAAGTTTAACCACCACGCCCTCACAATGACTTCCTTCACAGCTGAGCACATGATACAGAAACTTTATTATTCAAGATTTATTATAAATAATACTTATTGAAAGTCATTCTGTTTAATTACCACTGGTTCGGAAAACACCTCTGTCCTGGGAAAAACCAGCAAGAAACCCAGTGGGTTATTAACAAAAATAACAGCTTAAAATCATGCATGTTACACAATTAACAACACAAAACAAATTAGTTACGGCTTGGTAGCGATCACCTTATTCCCAGGGGTTATTATCATCCCTAAATTCCTTAATATTATAATACAGATATAGTTTAAAGTTTGTGAACGTTGGGCAGGTCAAATTTTGTATAGTTTATATATTTATCATGGTAAATCAGCACATAAAATTGCACTCAACAATTTCATTTGTAGGAGTTAATTTTTTTATAGCATAAGGGTGACAAATGAGCATACAGTCCACCTGATGGTAAGTGGTTGCTGCGGCTTATAGACTATCCTCTATTATGAATGAAAATGCAGATATGTTGTCATCTGTGAGAAAAATGGATACCCGGTTCTCTACACTCACCATACAAAACACAGCAGCATCAAGCTTCTATTTTTTGCTTGTATTCTGTGAGAGCGTGGTCCTTCCCCGGTCGAGTCGACCCACTCTTGCTACAACTATACTACTAATATAGGTGCAGCATGGTACTACCACACAAAAAACCACACCTCTACCATTTTTATTATTATTAAGTGAAAATACATGTGTTGTAAGGCTGTGCGTTGTGCAAACGCGACAAATTCGTAAATGCTTTACTTTTATAAAATTAAGAGTCCACTTAGCAGTCCATGGAATTGGTTGTTATCATTTCATTAATTACTAGCGATCTGCCCCGGATTCGCACGGGTCATTTCTGGCAACAGCACCACCTACCCGCTCCAATTGTGACCGGTTTAGATCATCCCGGGACCCTCTCAAACACACACAAGAAATTTCATCAAAATTGGTCCAGCCATTATCGAGTTATTACGAGACTCACGTCTTATGGACACCAATTGATTTTTATATATAGAGATTTATTATGCCAGTTATCATCTTAAATAATCATTTTAAAAACTAACAGTGAAGACAACTCCTACATCATTGGTGCCAGTGGTGATGAGACAGAGATAAAATTAATGGCAAGCACATAGCGCCTCAGCTTGTTCTAGAGTATTGTAACTTGTCCCAAAATATTGTACGAACTGGGATATTCTTTAACTAATATTAAAAATTATCTATGTATATTTATCAACATTATAAGCATTAAATAACTTATCATTTTAGCACAATGGAGTTTTGTTAATATTTTAGTAATAATATTAGAGGCCAATCAAAATTAAAAACTAATGTCTATCACTTGTTACGTAGGTAACTATTTACATAAGTTACCTACGTAACTAACCTATATTTTTTTTCGTGTTATTTTTTACATTATTTTATTTTATATATTTCATGAAAATGAATAAAAAATTTAGTTTAAATATATTTTAGATACCTGACCATTATTTACTATAAGATTTACGTTAATGTTGTTTTTAAGATGTCTTTATCTTTGTTTAAAATTTTGTTACAAATCTACGCGACTCACTAATGAATATAGTACAAAGTCTAAGTCGTAACATTGAATAAACCCTCCTAGGGGTATGTACAATGACACTGAATTCTAGATCTATATTTAGACTCATACTTCAAACAATATATTATGTCTCACTTACTTGAATTATCAGAAAGATATTTTAAACCGCGACAACTTATTCAGGTTAGAACTTCAGATTTCTAACTAAAAAGTTGCACTTTGATAATCTTCAAATATCACACTAGCACTAATCTCGTCGTTGAAGTCAAAATATTAAAATCTATTGTTTACGAACGCGAAATTTGCAAATTAAAAGCATGCCTCACTCTGTTTGGATTAATTGACAAACTGAATGGAGAACAGATTATGGCAAATATAAATATAAGCAAAATTGTGACAGTTGACAGCCGCTGTCTAATACAGCTGTTCCAAGTTTGCCATAATGCTTAACAATTATTACCCAAATAGCAAGTATTCAAGTATTTATTTGCTTATTAAGTGTACAATAAAAATAATATTAATAATAATAATAATAGACACAACCTAATAGATAGGATTTTACACCAAGAGCTCGATCTACAATACGGTCTTGTGGGACGGAAACTGCCTTATTATAAGTACTTTCAAAAAGTACTGTCTACGACTACTGTCGTTAACCACTTCTAACACAAGCATTTTAAGCTTACCAGAAGTGGTTAAAGGGAATATTAGTAATATTAGCATTACTAGTATTTTAATAAAAAAATAAATAAACACAATTGTATTTGTTTGTGTTGACAGTGGAAAAGTTTCTCTTCTACAGCGTGTAATAAAAACCATGTTCGCTCAAAAAGGGCTTATGTAATAAGTCACTCCCTTTTTTATAGGATAAGGGTGATAAGAACGAGCACACAGTCTACATGATGGTAAGTGATTGCTGTGGCCCATAGACATTTAAATCTATCCTTGATTACGAATCAAAATGCAGATGTGTTGTCAGCCGTGAGGACTAAGATGGAATGCCCCTTTTCCAGTAAAAAAGGTATTCTACACTCACCATACGAAAAACATCAGCATTAAGCTGCTATTTTACGCTGGTATTCTGTGAGAGCGTGGTCCTTCTTCCCCAGTCGAGCCGACCCACAACTATACTTTTAATGTAGCTCCAGCATGACTCTACCACGTTTAGATGTTAGATAATAACCTTAACTATTTAAATAAATGAACACTACTTAATAGACTTTGCGTTATCATGGAACGCATTAGGAATAAATACAATATATTATATTCTAAAATAAACCAACAGCAACAGGTCCATCACGATGCAACATCGGCCCTGCCTCACTGCAACGTCACCTTCTTTGCTGGTACTTAAAGTATTACCACGACGGACAGAATGACGACAATTGAGTTTCATCGAATAAAGGTCAAACCAGATCAATTATTTATCCTTGGCCTTGGCTTATCGTGTAGTGGCGTTGTAAGAATATTCTCTACCCTATATCACCCCGCGGGTGTCGTAAGAGGCGACAGAGGGAAACAAATCCACTCATTGGATAGTAAAAATTTTAATGAAAAGACTCATTTACATTTTTCTATCTAAACTACTTTCTAAATCGACAATTACATTATCAACAGTGTCGGTTTCGTAATTAAACTGCGCAATAGGAGATTTAAAGCAAGCGCCATCACCTAATCTACCACGACTTCGTTATTATCATCATTATAGCCCTTCACAAGTCCACTGCTGAACATATGGGGAGGCCCCAAGGAATGCCACAAAGCACGGTCCTGAGCCACCTGCATCCATCGACTTCCTGCATGTCTTACCAGGTCGTCTCTCCATCTAGTGTATCTACCACGACTATTCAGTATTTATTAAGGAATGGATAAGAAATGAAATAAAAATTTGTATAAAATGTTTATTATTATAATACGTAATTATTAGCATTCGGTATAGTTTAAACAGTTAAAATAGGTAAGTTTTAATTTAGCAAAATATTATTTGTTAAGTCTCTATTAACAGTTCAATGAAGTTAACGTAAACTAAAGTGTATAGAAAAATTTAACATCAAATCACATAAATTCAATATGAAAGCTAGTGCGGCACTCGTGGTGAATTTAATTAAATGCAACATCACATACACTAACAGTCATTATTCGTTCATGTTGGGATATTATTTAAAAAAAAAACATTAACGTAGAGCTAGTAATATAATTTATCTGTCATAGTAATGTCCTATAACAATAAAACTATTTTCATAAAAATAAAAATAAGAAACCATTGGAAAATACTGGAGCAAACACTGTCTTCATTAACAATGTTCTAGTCACATTGTTAAAATTTAAACATTCATACATCTCATTCTCAGACCAAAAAAGAAAGATAATCTGAACACTAACGCATTTTATATACATAGTGTTCTTTACATTTCTCTTTGTTCGTTTAAACAGTTTGTATGTTTCTCAATCTTAACACAAGTCTTTTATTCATTACTATAAATCAATTTAAAACATATTAGTTGGTATGTCTTTATTATTATTTATCGTGTCATAGGCTGCATACCATAAGCAAATATCCTAGATTGCCATATTCTCAATTTAATACCAAATTGGTAGTTTTGTAGACTATATAATTTTAAAGCATTAAAACAAAGATAATAAAATTATAATTTCAATCACTGAGGTCGAGGTCGGAGTCACTGTCCTGTGGGCCCCTTATCGTCTTCTTGCTGTGCACAGTGAGGGCGCGTTGCTTGCGAGCCTCCGCCGGCGGCACCAGCAGGTCGCCCGAGTACTCTATCACGTCGGCCCTGTAAAATACAGTTTCATACGTTAATTTTAGATCTCAACCAAATATATATACGAAGCGTGATAAAATAATAAGTGTATGTTATGTACGTGGTAGAGCCATGCTTCAGCTATATTAAATGTATAGGCTCGACCGTAAAATAGCAGCTTAATGCTGCTGTGTTTCGTATGGTGAGCGTAGAGAACCGGAGACCATTTTTTCAGGAAACGAGGCACTCCATCTTTTAGTCCTCACGGCTGACGACGCATCTCATTTTGATTTGCAAACGAGGATAAATGTAGATGTCTAAGGGCCACAGCAACCACTTTCCAATATGTGGACTGTGATCTCGCTTGTCACCCTTATCCTATAAAAAGTGTCAACAGCAAGAAGCATAGCGAATATCAAAAATCCTGTATACATTTTAGATCTGTTGAGAAGTTTTTACTTTTTTTTTACAGCTCAAATGGTTAGTTTGCATGACAGTTTAAGCGTTTAGTTTTTAAAATAACATCATATAATTAAAATATAAGATCTTTTTTTTAATAACTGGCTTTACGGCTCTGGGATCTAGCCCTTCTGAGCCTGAAGTTACAATATATTATAATAATTATCCTTCATAGTACACTGCTTCACAATATGTTGATGCGTCACATTATGCAGCCCTTGGGAGATTTTGACGACAACTTATCCAGCAGACAGCTGACGGTTGGCGATGGTATCTCAAGGCGCCTAAGCAGACAGACACCTTATCTTGAGAATCACGTCACCATCAGAGCACTTGTTTCACCGTTTCCACTAATAGTTCAAATGCGCAGACAGTTAATACATAAAATTGCACCATATTTACATATCAAAATCCACTTCAAACCATTATTTAAACAATAATACAGGAGCAGCAAACCGCCGCCGGTCAAGGGCCCGCCAAAACTCTCATATAAGATCTTTTTTCTACCGACAGCATTCGTTTAGCATACGAAAATAATTTCGTATGCCAGAAGAATGCTATAACGAAATTCAAGGTTCAACGGCATTTCGAAAAATCAGGCACCAACCCGCGTACATTTCGCTGCAGCACGTGCAACTGTTCGCGCCAACGTGAACACCTCACAAGTTAGCTGACGCAATTGGCGCGAATAGTCACACGTGCTGCTGTCCCAGAGTCTGTCTGATATGACACTGCCGTGCCCTGGTACAGTCAGTACTGCTGTGTGACCGGTACTACTAACAGTCGGTCATCGAAGGCGAGGTAAAGCCACGCTGCAACTATGTTACTGGTATAGTTGTAGCACGAATGGGTCGGCTCGACCGGGGAAGGACCACGCTCTCACAGAATACCAGTGTAAAATAGCAGGTAAATGCTACTGTGTTTCGTATGGTGAGTGTAGAGAACCGGAGACCCTATTTACTGGAAACGTAACAATCGTAGTCCTCAGGGATGACAACGCATCTGCATTTGATTCTTAATCGAGGACAATTGTAGATATCTGTGGTATAGTAACCCACTTATCATTGGGTGGACTGTGTGATTTTGTCACCCTTATTCTATAAAAAAAAACCTTTCCAAATCCATTCTATCAATACGCATGGATATACATAGATCAATACAAAACTCACCTGGCTATTCTCCACTCCAGGATCTCGGTGGAGAAGTCGTCACAGTTGCCGAGGTCCGTGAAGCCCACTATGAAGTCCTTAGTCTTGTTCTGTTTCACCAAACCTATGGTGGGGATTACCCTGATCTTAAGGCGACCTGGAAACAATTGTGTATATTTATTTATTTAAACAATATTGAACCTCACATATTAAGTACAAAATCAAAAGGCGGACTTATTGCTTAAGGCATTCTCTGAAAGTAAACATTAAGGCAGTGATAGAACTATGTAGGTGGTTAAAAAGACCCCCCCGAACGGGTTCCCGCCTTGTCGTGGCGGGGGGGCTTAGTAGCCGTGGCTTGGTCACCCGCGGTGAACAAAGAGGAACCCCTTGGCTGGCCCGTAGTGTAGGTGGTGTAGGGCCGGCCCGAGGTGGCTCTGAGTGAGTGGAAAGAAGTGCCGGTATTGCGAGGCCCCGTTCTCCCTACCCTCCGCGGCCGACACTTGTTTGGCGGCGTAGCCAGAGACCAGACCGCTTAGTAGCACCCGCTTTTCCGCCGCTGGGGTCGGCAAAGCGGGTGCTACTAAGCGTTCGATTTTCCTGGCTCCATGGCCTCCGCGTATCGAACTCGGGGGGGTCCGATACGCAGGTGGAGTTGGAGGCCGTGGAGGGGGGCGTGCCTTGTGTTCCTGGTGCGCCTTACCTGAGCGGGAGAGTGGGGAGGAGAGCACCTACCCCGAGAAGAGGCTGCCATGGGACGGCCGGCGTTGGTGGGGCCGCGGATGTGTGCGAAAGCGTTCCCGTGGCCCTGCCAATATGCGGCGAAGGTGGAACACCATGGGGTTTTAGTCGGTGCGAGTCCAACATAACCCGTCCTTGCCCCCGCAAGGCGGGTGGGTATGCGTAGGCATTTCCCTATATAAAAAAGGTGAAAATCATTACAGCCCTTCACAAGTCCACTACTGAACATAGGGGGAGGCCCCAAGGAATGCTACAAAGCACGGTCCTGAGCCACCGGCATCCATCGACGTCCTGCATGTCTTACTGAGAGTACAGAGCGGCACGAGGCTGCCACTCTAGAACCTTTCTTCCCCATCGGTTGTTGGTTGTTCGAGCTATATGGCCGGCCCACTGCCAATTCAGCTTACTAATCCATTGAGCTATGTCGGTCACTCTGGTTCTACTGCGAATATCCTCATTTCTAAGTTTATCACGCAGAGAAACTCCGAGCATAGCCCTCTCCATAGCTCGCTAAGCGACCTTGAGCTTCCTCATTCGGCCAGCAGTGAGGGACCACGTCTCAGTTCCATAGGTCATCACTGGCAACACGCACTGATTGTACAGTCTCGTTTTCAAGTTTTGCGGTATACCTGACGAGAAGATGTGTCGCAATTTCTCGAACGCTAACCAACCGAGTCGGATACGTCGATTTACCTCTCGGTCGAATTTGGACGTCGTTAGTCGGACTATTTGTCACAGGTAAACATACTAGTCAACAACTTCGAGCTTAGGGCTCTCAACAACTAAGAAATTAAATATACAGTGTTACTTTTCAAAGAGTAGCCAAATTTTAACTTAAAGTTCAAATACATAAATAATGATATACCATTACTGCAGATTTTTAAAATACGTGTAAACAATGTTTCTACTTTTTTTAATTATCCCAAATTGAATGTGATTTTTGGGCAACAACGTTTTTGCCTACCAAACAACCTTTACGAATATGTTCGTGAGCAGTAAAATCAGTTAAAATAATGCATTACCACACATTTCGAATTTAAAAGATAAAAAGGACAGAATGTTTGAGATTTTTTTAATTAATTTTTCTTCACAATATACCTATATTACTTATTCTGAACCTTCTCTAATAATTTCACCTCTCAGTGAGTCATGTGCTCCTGGTAGATTATCTTCTATACATTCATCCATAACAGCCTATAAAAGTCCACTGCTGAACGAACATAGGCATCCCACATAGATTACCTCATAAGGGGTGATTTTGTCATAGTTGTAATGTTACTGTTGATTTGAAAATTTCCTCCCATAGATTGCATCACAGGGAGGATATTTGTCATAGTTGTAATGTTACTGTTGATTTAATAATTTCACCTCTCAGTGGGTCATGTGCTCCTGGTAGATTATCTTCTATACATACATCCATTACAGCCTGTAAAAGTCCACTGTTGAACATTGGCCCTCCCATAGATTGCATCACAGGGAGGATATTTGTCATAGTTGTAATGTTACTGTTGATTTAATAATTTCAGCTCTCAGTGGGTCATGTGCTCCTGGTACATTGTCTTCTATACATACATTACAGCCTATAAAAGTCCACTGCTGAACATAGGCCCTCCCATAGATTGCATCACAGGGCGGATATTTGTCATAGTTGTAATGTTACTGTTGATTTAATAATTTCTCCTCTCAGCGGGTCATGTGCTCCTGGTAGATTATCTATACATACATCCATTACAGCCTAAAAAAGTCCACTGCTGAACATAGCCCCCCCCCCCCATAGATTGAATCACAGGGGGAATATTTGCCATAGTTGTAATGTTAATGTTGATTTAATAATTTCACCTCTCAGTGGGTCATGTGCTCCTGGTAGATTATCTTCTATACATACATCCATTACAGCCTATAAAAGTCCATTGCTGAATACAGCCCCCCCCCCCCCATAGATTGCATCACAGGGGGAATATTTGCCATAGTTGTAATGTTACTGTTGATTTAATAATTTCACCTCTCAGTGATTCATGTGCTCCTGGTAGATTATCTTCTATACATACATCCATTACAGGCTATAAAAGTCCACTGCTGAACATGCCCCCCCCCTCCATAGATTGCATCACAGGGGGAATATTTGCCATAGTTGTAATGTTACTGTTGATTTAATAATTTCATCTCTCACTGGGTCATGTGCTCCTGGTAGATTATCTATACATACATCCATTACAGCCTAGTCCACCGCTGAACATGGCCTACCCCATAGACTGCCTCATAAGTTATGCCATAATTGTTTCGCTTGGCAGGTGGGTTGGCAACCGCAGTTTCTATGTAGAGTTGTTATCAGAAGATGCTGCTGCCCGTTTCTTTCAGTTTCCCTCTGTCGCCTCTTACAACCACCACGGGATGATATGGGGTAGTGGATATTCTTACACTGGCTTCGATAGGGCGTAATGGTGGAATGATAACGACGATAGATGTATTACAACGATATCTGACGGCTCCGTGGCGTAGTTTAGCAATGAGTTGCAGTGCAAGAGCATCTGGTTCAAATCCAGCAGGGAACAAGTATTTGCATAGCGTTCTAATAATTGCTCCATGTCTGGATGTTTGCTCTTGTGCAATTTATGTATGTAAACTGCCTCCACTTTACAGGTGAATATCCTCGTGTGGGGGTTACGTTATTTAAAAGTATAAAATATATAAGAAAGTATACAACAACATTATATAACAAACAGAGTGACGCTCACTTGTCAAGAATGGTGCACGTTCAACGTCCAGCTTGACGAACCTGGTCTCCACGTGTTTCTTGGCGAGCGTCTTCAAGTGCATGTCGACGATCCGGCAGCGAGGAGTGTCCGCGCGGTAGAAGTGGCACACCACATTGTCGCTCTTGTTGCACACAACAAAGAACTCCTTCTCTCCGTCAATCTCAGTGTATTCACCGTGGCCCTGTGGATAATGCACAAATTACATAATTATATACGACTAAAGTATCACTGTTTGTATAAGGAAGACGATTTTTGGAACGTAGTTCTTTATTGGACGGTACGGATTTGGCGGACGGGAGCTAGGCGACAAAAAGTGTAAGATTTTTTCGTCACTACCTCTTGCGTCATAGTGTAGACGGCCTTGGCGGCGAAATAAGGAAGTGAGATGGAATAATATCCATCTCCCTCGCACTTTTTCTTATCTTGCCATGAAAGAAATATTATTTTATTTCAAATGACGCTTCATTTTAACAGACGCTAGTAATTCATTTATTTGTATTTGTTAATCAATAATATAATACCTACGTTTATCAATAATGATATAACAAGAAACTTCGTTCCAACCGAGTGTTTCACGACACTCACGAATTTTTTTTTTTATGGAATAAGTGTGACAAACAAGCATGTAGTCCACCTGATGATAAATGGTTTCTGTGGCCCATAGACATCTATATCTATCCTCGTTTTCGAATCAAAATGCAGATGCATTGTCACCCCTGAGGACTGAGATAGAATGCCAAATAAGGTCTCCGGTTCTCTACATTCTGTGAGAGCGTGGTCCTTCCCCGGTCGAGTCGACTCATTTGTGCTACAACTATACCAGTAATATGGCAGCAGCATGGCTCTACCACGTAGTAACTAATTGGATGTTAATGTTAAAGGTATACAGATTCAAACCATTATCAAATCAATTAAAACATCATTCATGATAGAGCTGTGCTGCAGTTATACTATAGTTGAAGCACGATTGGATCGGCTCGACCGGGGTTGGATCAAGCTTTCACAGAATCCCAGCGTAAAATAGCAGCTAAATCTGACTAACATTTGCGATCCACTCCTGTTTCTGTTGGGCGCGCTTCTTCATCTCAGCAATGCGCTGCTGCCGGATCGCCTCAAGGTCATTGCTGTCCAGAGTGTCCAACCTGAAGACATGCATATCGTTTAAGTCGCCGTAAAGTTAGACATGAGCGTTATCAGTTTTTTATGATAATGGTTACATAACCAATATTCATTGCATGCGTTCCGACTGTTCAAGGAGAATGTTTCAGAAGTATAAGTATTATCAAATTCATTGCAAATAAGCTTAAACAATGTTCCATACAAAAAATTTGGATTATTTTGGTATGAAAGTGATGAAAGTTTCTTCACTATGTTACTTCTAAACTTCTCCAAGCGACGTACATTCACTGCAACAAATAATTTTTTCATCTACATGCTTTTTGTGAACATAAGGTAACGAAACTAACTGTCCAGTAATCAGAACTCAATTTTTAAATTTTACGTTTATGCAACGGCGTAAAAATGTTATCTATACATGTTGCACTACATTCAGTAATACGCATTGGCTCTAAAAATAAATTAAAATTACCATATGACAAAAAATACAAAATTTTGAATTTTAAATTATTTAATTAATATAAAAAGAACAAATAACAGGACAAACTAAATAAAACCGTTTAAAACTATAGACAGGGTGAGATTTGTTAATAGTTTTAGTAATTAAAATTTACATTGATGACATTTTTGTTTAAAAAACATAGTTTCCTCAAGATTTGCGGAGAAAGGCGATTTTGCAAATCTCACTCAATAAGACCTGCGGTGGAAAATAGTCGCTCAGATGCGACAGAACTCATTTGGAAACTAAAAGTACTTCTGCGCAATTTTTTTCAAGTTTGGGTATAAGACGTCATTGCGCAAGAAAACGAACGGATCTGCGCCTCTCAATACGTTTGGAGACCTGAAGTATCTTTCGAATTATAGCTCAGAGTAGACTGGGCTCATCTTCCACTGACTCTCTAATAATATTTTCACAAATGATCCAAAGCCCGCCACTTGTAAGCATCTCAGAACTTACAGTTACATTACTAGATGTGAGTGTGACCGTGTCTGAAATAGTTTCGGAAAGCAGTGCTATATTAAGATCAAGTAACCGAACAAGGCGCTTTTTTGCCATAGTAATAGTAAGCTGTGATTGAAATATTCGCGCTTTGCAACGAGGATCAAGCATTGTGGCTAAACAAGACACTGCATAAAGTCCGAGGTTTCCTCGAGCATAGTTAGTGCGTGCCTCTTTTGCAACGAAATAGACGAGACAACACCCGCGTTTACATTACAATTTTAAAGCGTAAAATTTGAAAAGCATCGTTGAATCGGCCATAAAAATATCGCCGATGCTGATATATTGGCAAACTTCGAATATCGCCGATATATCGGCAAAGGTATCGGTATCGGATGCATCGCTACTTTGTACAGCATATCAATACAATATGTTTTAATATTTGTAGCCTTTTGTAGTAACATTTTGATATATCAGACTCATGCTTAGTCGGAGTAGCTTGACATTTCGAAAACTGGACGTGAAGACGTACATAGGATTGCTATAAAGACTGTCAAGGCCACATTATTATAACTCATTGAGTTATATGTACTACGTACTAGAGAAGCTATTCCAAACAAAAATTGTGTCCTACTCGATGTCGTTGCACATGCGCGGGAGTAGTAGTCGCGCATGCGCATAGACTAATTTAATATAAAATAAGATATTAATATAAGTTCTTTGAACGATGTCATCCGAAGGGCTCTTGCCTCTATAAATGTTCTCTCGGTTTTAGAGCCTTGTGGAATATTTAGAGACGATGGAAAGAGACCCGACGGTATGACATTGGTCCCTTGGGAGAGAGGTAAAGCCCTAGTGTGGGATGCTACTTGCGTAGACACTGGCGGCCTCTCATCTCAGGGGTACCTCGTTTAAAGCCGGGGCGGCATCAGAGGCAGCTGAAATGAGTAAGTGGCGCAAATATGAGTCTCTGAGAGATGACTACATATTTGTGCCATTTTCTGTAGAGACTATCGGTCCGTGGGGTCCACGTGCGGTGAAGTTCCTAAAGGAACTCCATCCGCGGCTGGTCATTGCTGCTATATGTCATTGTGATAAGAGGGCTGGTTCTTTCCTCGCTCAAAGGCTAAGTATAGCCATTCAGCGGGGAAATGCAGCCAGCGTTCTTGGCACGATACCGCGGGGAGTAGGACTATATGATAATTAAGTTTCTAGTTTTAGTTTTTTTTTTATTATCATAGTTTTTAATATTGTAGATAAAATTAAGTATTATGTAGAATATTTTTTTAACATGGTTCTATTATAATTTAAAAATATAAATATTAGTACCTTTAAAAAAAATCTAAACAAACATATTTCTAAATAAAATGTAATAATAATTATTTTATGGAATTCACAAATCTTCAATTTACGCAATATTTAGTTTGTATGGATTGCAGTACAGTTCAGTTGGACATAGTCAATGTTCGGAATGGCTTCTCTAGTACGTAGTACATATAACTCAATGTTATAACTAGTGATTGTCCAGTAGTCAAAACTTGACCATTATTCATAAATTTTTTAGATTTGTATATTATGCCATCTCAATTTCACTTCTCAATGTATATTATATGTATTATAATACATAAGCTTTCAACTGAACAGGAACTGATTACTACTACTGTTGTACTAGCTAGTCGCCCCCAGCTTCGCACGGGTGATTTCTTGTACTCGACAACAGCACAACCTACCGGCTCCAATTGTGAATCGTTTAAATCATCCAGACACCCACTCAAACACACAAAAAATTTCATCAAAATCGATCCAGACATTTTAGTTTTTTTTTTATAGGATCGGGTGACAAACGAGCACACAGTCCACCTGATGGTAAGTGGTTACTGCATAGATTACCTCCTAATAGATTCCGCATACAGGGCCACAAACGCGCGCAACACATACTTGCTGTAGCTAGCATACGAAGCGAAGCTAAGAATCACGACATCAGTATCGACCAAGTTTGTGATCCGTAGGCACGTCCGAGATCTTGACAATTTAAAATAGTTTTGTATCCAAAATACATTACAAATGGCTTCCTGTGCAGTAAAATGGTGTGACAAGTCAGCTAAGACATCCAGTTATCAAATAGATGGCATAAATTTTAATTGGTAAGTAAATTCTATTCTTATCACGTTAACCTATTTCAAATGCACCGGAGATCAACTTATACTGATATAGTAATTGTGCAAAGTGATAACAATTAAGCACCCGTTGATGTCTTTTTGAAATGTCCCTTTCACTCGTTACGTAAATTACAATAGTTGTCTTTGTCTAACAACAGCACGTGTATCGATAGTGTTGTGATTTTTAAGTCGATATTTGTTTGGTCATCGTTTAATTATTTTTTTCGAAGTCATATTATTTTATAAAAATAGTGACGTGGGCGGATCAACTTTTTTACCCACACTTTGGTGTCCCTAGCAGTCATTTTTACTTAATGACTTATTCAAAAGTTTTTTATAGGTAAATGGTATTCTAAACACATAACAAATAATCAGACATCATCAGAAAAATGCTAAAGGTGCTGAAAATTAACAATTTATTTTGATTTTTAGGGTAACTCAGTATATCAAAAAGAGCTCCCATACAAAAAATCCTTGTCCCGAGACCATAGTCTCTCATGTGAATTCCAGATGAAATTATTTTTTTCTATAAAACCCTATCTTGAAATTAATTTTACAAAGAGACAAAACAATAAACTTTATCATGATTAATCACTGATATTAAATAGGAATAATTAAATAGGAATAATAGGTAAAAAATTCTGTAGGAAAGATTTTTTACGTTTATCTTATTACCGATTTAGATTTAATGAAAAGTTGCGTGTTTTATTTGGATGTTGGTAACGCAAGATACAATTTATTGATTACTTTTAAGATAAAAACTAAGCAATTGTTAAGACTGACTTTATTACATCAATTAATTTTGCGTATAAAAGTAAATAAAGGCTACGAATCATTTATATATTTGTTTTATTCAGACTATATCGATCACTATATATAGGTTACGCAGTAGACAGTTTTTAGAGGGTGCTCATACATTTTCGCTAATTGTGGCCAAAATAATAAATGAACGTCGTGGCCCTTTGAAATACATAAAGTAGTTGATATTTCTAACACACTTTTCATGTCGGAATGTACATATTAAATATTTATTTCTCAAAAAAATATTTTGCCTGACCTCTTCAAAATGTGGGTCGAATAGTTGATTGACCCACGTATCATTGTGGTACCTATATGTTATAGGTTTCCTAAATGCCCCGACAGGAAAAAAGATGTGGATCGACGCAAATTGTCGAGGGGACGAATGGTTTCCCACCAAAAATAGTGTACTATGCTCAAAACACTTCACAGAAGACAATCTTCATAATATTAGGAAAAAACGTATAAAGCTGTTGGATTCTTGCCAGTTTTGGTATGGACTTTTGCATTTTTTTAAAGATTAGTACTAACATAGATAACACAATAATATCATTAAGTGGTTGAGTGAAACATGATATTCTTATATTTAGGTAAATGTTACACGTCGAAATCAAGCTATTTTGAACGGATTTATAAATCATAAAACTTGCAAAAGTTATAATGTGATTATTGTTTTGACTTGGTATTTAGTGTTACATGAACTTCAGTATTATCTTATTATAATTATTAAGTACATCTAAATTTGGAAGACGTGCCGTATGGTATATTAATTAATAATACTATATTGGTAATGTTTTAAAAGAAACGAATATGTATTTCTGATTTAGATTACTGGTTCACCGCTGAAAGACGCGAAAAACCCGCCAACACCTAAAAATCAGAGTCATTGCTTAGAAACGGCTACAAAACAAAAAAGGAAATTTTCTCCTATACCTGATACGCCATCTGCATTTGATACTCCAGTTAAAAACGTCTTTGTAGAAGAATCATCGAATTAACCAACGTAATGAACAGAAAAGATAAAAAAGTTAAAAAGTTAAGTGATTCCAACAGAAGACTAAAAACACAAATAGTTTCTTTGAAGTCATTATTGGTAGAATTAGAAAACAAAAATTCATTAGCAGCGGAAAACAATGACGCATTAAGTTCCTTAGAAAAAAATATTCACCACAATTAAGAGCTTTTGCACTCACCATAAATTACTCAGCTAGGCTTATAATTATGTACGCAAAACATTTAATACTTCTTTACCTTCTGTAAAAACACTAGGAAAATTTGTAGTTTTAACACAATCAATTAAGCTTAATTATAAATAATAATTATAATAATATAATAAATAATATATATATATATATATATATATATATATATATATATATATATATATATATATATATATATATATATATATATATATATATATAATAAAAATAATAAATATAAATAAATAAGCAGTTCTGTTAATAATGATATTTTTCATGAAATAAAAAAATCACCAATTCGATCACGAAAGTTGTAATCATGTCATTGATTTAGCTAAGAGTGTTATGGAAAAATACATAGACATACTCGTAAGATTACTCTACTCATCCAGGAAGACAGATCCTAAGAATTGTGTGAGACAATTTTATACTAAGATTATCCATTTTAAAAATCAGTCAAATATATATTTATAAATTAAATGTACAAATATATGTATACAATGTTTAATTTTTTAATAAACATCAAATAAAAATTGATCAATATATTTATTTATCATTATCAATAATCAATAAATCCCAAATTTATCGATCAACGTCCCAACCCTGTTCCATCACTATGGTTTGGTACATTCTAAGTTTGACCTTTAAATATCCAATCACAGCGCATTTGCCACGTCCCCTGCAACCCTTGCATAGGGCCAAATTTGGTGAACTCGAAACAGAACAAATATTCAATGATGCGGTATCTATTAGGAGGTAATCTATGGGTTACTGTGACCCATAGACATCTACATCTATCCTCAATAAAGACTCAAGATGCAGATGCGTTGTCACCCGTGAGGACTAAGATGGAATGCCTCTTTGCCAGTAAAAAGGGTCTCCGGTTCTCTACACTCACCATACGAAACACAGCAGCGTTAAGCTGCTATTTTACGCTGGTTTTCTGTGAGAGCGTGGTCCTTCCCCGTTCGAGCCGACCCATTCGTGCTACAACTATAATATAGCTGCAGCATGGCTCTACCACGTAGAAAAGTTTAGAGTTTTTGCAAGCATAAGATTTTTATATATAGAGATTTAACTGAAAATAAATATTTTAATGATAATTACATAAAAGTGTTATCTTAAAATTTCTATGAATAGAATAGAATAGAATAATTTTTTAATCAATATTGATTATTACATAATTCTTATTGAAAGTCATTTTCATCTACCACTGGTTGGGAAAACACCTCTGTCCTGGGAAGAACCAGCAAGAAACACAGCGGGACTTTTTTCAAACATATTTCACTTAACAATAATTTAGTTTATACAATTTTTAAATGATTTTTCATAGAACCAGCATGGTGGTGATCACCTTGTTCTGCATTACCTCTCAAGTTCGCTATCAAGCTGCTTCTCCACAGTCTGAGCGACATGCTTCAATACCTGCTCCATACTTAGATCCAATGAGCACTGAAACAAAAATATGTAAATTTAAGAGGGAATAAAGATTATTACATTGCTAAAGAAACTCAAACTAACTTAAACATTTTACAGGCAGTAGTCATGCTGGAGCTATATTAATTGTATAGTCATAGCACAAATGGGTCGGCTCGGCCGGGGAAGGACCACATTCTCACACAATACCAGCGTAAAATAGCAGCTTAATGCTGCTGTGTTTCGAATGGTGAGTGTAGAGAACCAGAGGCTCTTTATACAGGAAAAGAGGCATTCCATCTTAGTCCTCATGGCTGACAACACATTGCATTTTGATTTACAAATTGGGATAGATATAGATGACTATGGGCCACAGCAACCACTTACCATCAGGTGGACTGTGTACTCATTTGTCACCCCTATTTTATAAAAGAAAAACCTACATGTAACTAACAAATGGTACTCAAGTAGAATAACATAAATATATATATATATATATATATATATATATATATATATATATATATATATATATATATATATATATATCATAAGTGTATATTTAAGTTCCATATTACTAGAAACATAAAATCGCATTGAAAGAACACAATAAACACCTTAATAATATCATCATCGGGAGAGTGTTTAATGTTACAAATATAACAATAAAGAATTCAACATGTGCAAAACAGAGAGAGAGGGATGATATATACAGGGTTATTTTGGAAAATACACCCAAGTTTTGCAGAGAAGGTTCAGAATAAGTAATATAGGTTAGTGGTTGATAAAAATTAATTTAAATAAATCTCAAAATTCTGTCCTTTTTATCTTTTAAATTAAGAATGGGTGGTAATGTGATATTTAAACTGATTGTCATTCATAAATATCAAACGCCTACTATTTTACTACACATGCACACATTTGTAAAGGTCGCTCGGTCGGCAAACACACTGTAAATTGAACCGCAGACAAAGAAGCTCACATACGCATACCTTGTTGCTCACAAATCACATTGAATTTGGGATAATTTCAAATAAAAGTAGAAGCCATGTTTACTTGAATTTTCAAAAATAAAAAATTGCTACAACGGTATATCATTATTAGTATGATTTTCCATTGACATCCGTCGAGCTGAGGATTGATAGTTTTTTTACAGAAAGGTTACATTATTATAAGCACACACGCAAAGTTTCAACATGCGGAAATGCGTACTTTTTGAGAAAAAAATTATTGAAAATCTATTATTTTTGCAATATTTTGCATGTGTGCTTATAATAATGTAACTTTTCTATTAAAAAATATCAACCTACAACTCGACGGACGTCAATGGAAAGCTAAGCCTCATTATTTATATTATATTTGTACTTATATATAAATTTTGGGTACTCTTTGAAAATATCCCTGTATATCTTTCAGATCAATTAATACAATAGGGGGTGAGATCCATATAGCAGAACAAAATCTATATAAAAGAGGTCATAATATATATATGAATACATAGTTGATAACCCCTGGGAATAAGGTGGTCCCTTCCAAGCTGTTTCTAAAATAAATTTTGAAAATTGTTTGCACAATCTTTCTTATTGTATAATTTACTTTTGAAAGAAGTCCCGTTGGGTTTCTTGTTGGTTCTTCACAGGACAGAGATTGTTTTGAACCAGTGGTAAAAGTAAAAAGAAATTACTCGATAAGAATTACATGTAATCTATACGGAATAAAAAATTATTCTACTCGATAGAATAAAAGAAACTAAAAACTAAAATAATCAAACAGTCCAAGTCAAACTCTCCGCGGTATAGAGTTAAGAACGTAGAGCGTTATACCTAGCCTTTGTTCAAGAAGTTTTAGTAAATTATCAAGTTAATCAGAAGAACTGAACTTACCTGATTTAAAAGAGATGAGATGAGATGATGAGATTGTAAATGTTATTTTTATAATTAGAAAGTAAAATACAAGTCGGTGATCTCATATTGGAGTACACACATGTTAGACAATCCTTATATATTTCGTATATTTACCTTTTTGACTCACGAAATTCAGCTTGTATGCCACACTTTAGGTATAATAAATTATAATACGTTATATTAAGTAATACAGAAGTTAAGTTTAATTATAAAACGGAAAAGAATGTTTTAATAAAAATGTTTACAAATTTTCACATTAATGACACAATCAGTTCTTTTTTTTTTAAGATTTTAAGCTTGAATACTTGTCTTTTAAGCCATGTCTTTATTTCACTCGGGTTCTTCGTTTATAAAAATGTCTATTGTGGATTTAATATATTTGTAACTAGGCAGAAAATATTTCATATTCTTCAAAAACATAATCAAGTGACGGGGATTATTATTTGCGATGGGTCCACTTTCACTATCAAAAATCGTTGAAAGTTTATTTATTTATTTATTTACACACACATACAACATACACAATCATTACAGGGTGAGTACCCTAATTCGACAAGTTAAATTGACCACATTCAAACAACAGATGATGAATAGTTCCAACTTGATCACAATGTGGGCAGAAGTTCGAGGAACATATGCTAAGACGAGCAAGGTTGTGGAATTTTATGGTGGCTGAACCACAATCGATTTATAGTCACGACTTGCTTCTTTCAACTTAGCGTACCATGACTTAACGGGTATTTAGTTGTGGACACTTCCATGCCACATCCCTTTGTTTTCATGGCTTTTCTTATTTTTACGTAAAACATTCATCAAATACAAATATGAATTTTTAAAAACTGACACATGACATTAAATGTAAATATTGTCAAAGTGAAAGAAAAATTCTCCCGCATTTTGTCGTTTAATTAAAAGTAAAACACGTCAATAGGAATTAAATACAGTGCGTAACGCAACTTAACAACTTTTTACTATCAGGGTTTTTTTTATTTTTTTTTTTTTTATAGGAGAGGGGGCAAACGAGCATGCGGCTCACCTGATGGTAAGTGACTACCGCCGCCCATGAACAACCGCAACACCAGGGGAATTGCAGATGCGTTGCCGGCCTTTTAAAAAGGAGTAGGCTCTTTTCTTGAAGGTCCCTAAGTCATATCGGTCCGGAAAAATCGCTGATGGTAATCGATTCCACAAGGAAGTCGTGCGAGGAAGAAAACATCTTCTAAATCGCACAGTGGTGGACCGCCAATCATCCAGATGGTGTGGATGGTATCGGGAGTTCTGCCGCGATGTGCGTTCATGAAATTTGGCGGCTGGGATTAATCCGAACAATTCCTCAGAGCACTCCCCATGGTAGATGCGAAAGAAAATGCAAAGAGATGCAACATCTCTTCGCAGTGCCAATGAATCGAGCCGATCGGAAAGGGCTCGGTCGTCGACGATTCGAGCCGCTCTGCGCTGGATGCGGTCAAGTGGAAGGAGCTGGCACTGGGGAGCCCCTGCCCAGAGATGGGAACAGTATTCCATGTGAGGCCGAACCTGCGCCTTGTAAAGTTGCAGGCGGTGTGCCGGCATGAAATACTGTCCCGCTCTGCTGAGCACGCCAAGCTTTTTAGAGGCCAATTTGGCTTTCTCTTCCAAGTGACCACGAAACTGCACGTCACTCGATATGTCGACTCCGAGGATACCGATACTGGCTGAGGCAAGAAGGGGAGTGCCTTGAAACTGAGGAGATACGACAAAGGGGTTCTTTTTAGCGGTAAACGCGCAAACTTGTGTCTTCTGAGGATTAAACTGGACTAGATTTAGTCGCCCCCAATCCGAGACTTTGTCCAGCAAAGACTCGACTTCAGACACAGGGTTGCTAACATTGAAAAAATGCAACGCACTGTTTTTATTTAAAAATATGGATGATAAATTTTAAGGAAACTTTTTAAACGGTCTCATAATAAATGCATGTTCGGTTTTCGTTTTAGGTTTCCTTCTGATCCGATCATTACGGCTTGTTGGAAAGAAAAAATCAGCCATAATCGAAATTAAAGCAGTTGGAAACCCCCTAAAATTACAAAAAAATGTTTTTTACATTTGTTTTTTCATGCAATAGGGTGACTAACGAGCACATAGTCCACCTAATGGAAAGTGGTTGCTGTGACCCATAGACATCTACATCTATCCTCAATAAATAATCAAAATGTAGATGCGTTGTAATCCGTGAAGACTGCGTAAAACCTAGCAAAACCAAAATTTTATCGTGTTTTTCGTATTGTAGCTTAAATCATGCAAGCAGTGAGGCGTGGTACACCATTACTAGATGATTATTAGAAACAAATTAGTTAAAAACAAACTGAATAATGAATACTGAATTTGGTTAGTCGTTCGTCGAACAGTCATATAATTATAAATTTTCCATACAGTTACAAAGAAAAATATGATGCAATCACATTTAGATGGCTCATAAAAGTATCTCACTTGGCTAGACAGGCAAATACCCTATTCAAGAATATTTTGAATTTAGCGGGCTACGCTTCGATAACAGAATTCAAAAAAAACTTATTTTCACATTTCTATGAGTCATAACTTACGTCGAAACTATTAGTCCAATATAGTTTTAACTTCCCTACTTTTGGGGAAAATTTAATGTATTGGCAATATTATTTTTCCCTTGTTGCGTTTCGTCTAGCGTAAACACAAGTTTTACGCACACATAGATTTTGTTTTTGCCTCACTTTTGAACGTTCGCTTTGTAGGGAACTATCGTTCTAGATTTTATTATTCTAAGATAATATTATGCACAATGTAGTTAGTTTTAAAATGATTTGAGTAATTTTCTATACAAGAAATATAACGGGAAGAATTATTAACTAATGAAAAACTTATAATTATTTACAGAATAAATTATTTTCAGCGATTCAAAGACTTATAAATTCATCATTAAGAGTCCCTCTATCTCCAAGGAGTCGGCCAGCTACTGGCCCCTTAGGTTCCGTTGCCCTATTCCGTATTCCGTATTCCCCTTCTTTCAGCTCACCGTTCTCGCTTGTGCCTAGTTTTGCATTGAAGTCTCCCATTAACACCGTATAGTGGGTTTTGGAGGAATGCACGACTCTAGAGATATATAATGTATGAACATTTCCTCCACCTCCTCATTGGGGTGTGCCGAGGTTGGTGCGTAAACCTGTATGACCTTCAGCGAATACCGTTTGGTGATTCTGAGTATAAGGTACGCAACCCTCATCAACACACTCCCAATCTTTACAACGTTGTTAACGAGAGACTTGTGGACGATAAATCCGACCTCCTTGTCACAGATGGTCACCCTCCCGGTGATAGAACAAGTTGCCGGATTCGAGGATTACCGTGTCCTCCCCTCTCTTCGGACCTCGGATAATCCTATGATATTCCAGCGCAACTTTTCTATCTCCTCTTCCAGCTTCAGTATTTTCTCGTTAGTCCTCAGGGTGCGTGCGTTATAAGTTGCCAGATAGAGTCGTCGTAGGTGGCAACCGAACCTCCACGGGAGATTCTTAAAACCCCCTGCCCCGTTGTTACTATGGACGCCACCGTACGCAGAAATAGCGGGGCCGCCGTGGAATGGGAGCCGTCTCTTCGTTACTATCAGGGGGGATATATTGCCATAGTTGCCACGCTTGGCGAGCGCCTCTGCCTTAGTTTCCCTCTGTCACCTTTTATGACACCCACGGGAAGACATGGGGTAGTGAGTATTCCTACCCGCCACTAAAAGATTCCGTTCACATTCCATCATAATATGAACAGTATCTTGCAAAGCTGCGCATTCGACACAATTTGGTGGATTCATTTTTGAATAAAACTATGTTTACTGAATTTATCACGTTTAATTTACTTATTTCAATTTCCGACGTTTCGGGTCCTTTACCTAATGGTCAATTCACCCTGTGTAGAGGGAAAAGATCCACACCAACTGATATTTAAATGATGAATCTCATCAACATGCATCACATGAGAGAACATTCGCGTGACTACTAGAAAAACCATAGACATAGTATCTTATAGACTGAACATTCAGTGACGTCATCAGCGTGTGAAAGGAATGCACACACGTCATATAGTTAGACATAAGAGTAAGGGAGAAGCAAATTTATATTTCTTGTCTTTTTCTAGGTATGCGTTTTTGATTGTTTTCCCTCCTTTATTTGACATTAACGATGTCAAGCTCTTTTGAATAATATTGATATTAAAAGCAAACAGGTAATTGAATTTAGTGTTTTTTGTGGGTCTTAGTTATTAGGTAAGGTGTAAGTTGTAGCATTTTAGGATGCAACAGCATCAGTCAACGAAAAATTGATAATATTACCTTTCATCGGTAAGTTTGTTTTGTGCTTACATTTGCTACTTGTACTGATTAATATCTATTGTTTTGAATATAAAGTGTAACATTTCATGTTTTTAATGAACTTTGTGATGTATTTTGTCATATATTTGGACTCCCAAATTGTAAATTCTTCATAATAATGCTCCTTAATTTGAACGGTCATTCGAAAGCTTAAAGTCATAACAAACGTGTACTTTTTGATTTGGTAGGATTATAGAAACTTTAGGGATATCAGCGAGTACAATAATGTTTTCGCATTGTTCAATAATAATTGTTATTGTGATTAGTAGTTATGTCCATAAATATGAATCACATAATGTTATACATATACATACACTTTTATGTTCAGCTTTAAAGGAAACTCCTTATTGCCCTACAACTCTTCAATCATTTTCCATATAACATAGACGTCACAAATAATATGTAAGTATCAACCTGAAAACACGTTTGGATTCAAGTACATAAATATTGGGCAAAGTATTTTTTTTATAGGATAAGGGTGACAAATGAGCACACAGTCCACCTGATGGTAAGTGGTTGCTGCGGCCCATAGACATCTACATCTATCTTCGATTACGAATCAAAATGCGTAATCGAAGATCTCTACACTTACCATACAAAACACAGCAGCGTTAAGCGTGGTCCTTCCCCGGTCGAGCCGACCCATTCGTGCAACAACAATAATATAACTGCACATGGCTCTACCACGTAGAAAAGTTTAGAGTTTTTGCAAGCCTAAGATTTTTATATATAGAGATTTAACTGAAAATAAATATTTTAATATATATATACAGGTTAAAACTCTAGCGTGCTATTAATGTTTTGCCATTTAACAAAATTTATATTGTTCCACTGTAAATCAATATTTTCCAATTTTTATACATCTTCAACCCCTAACTCTTTTGCCGAA